CTAGGAGAATTTACATGGAAAACTGTATACTAAAGACAAACTATCCAAATGGAGTGTCATCACTGATTTTCATGTTCCCTTTGCTTGACAGAACAGAGAGTTGCACTCACATGTTTTTTAAGTTTGAACTGTCTACTTAAGTGTTGTTTAATATCTTAAACAGCAAGGCATAAACAGGTTCTGTATATTGAAGCGGTGAATTAGAATTGGTAGTTTATAGAGCTAAGGGCAAATATGCAGCAGCAGAAACTCTCTAGCAAAAAGGTCCCCTGAAGTAGCAGAATTGCGGTACCTTTAAGCAGTGTATTATGATACATTTAGATCCTGAAGTATGGCAGTTGATAACTGACACACTTCTCTGGATTTCAGTAAGAAGCTAACCTTTACTGAGTTCGTGAACTGTATGCTGAGAGGATTGAGCATCTAGCTTAGCTGTCAATATATAGAGCTACTTCCTTAATGCGTGAATGGTGTCTTCCTCTTAGAAGTTTGTTTCTGTCATCAGGCATCATAGGTTTTTCAAAAGCTGCAAATGAATTTGGCCGAGGTTTCCTAACATTTGAAATTCTTATGATTACTCATCCTTGTGATGTGCATCTTTTGGATTAACAGAAATATTAGATCACACATAATTCCTTTTTTTTGCGCAATCTTAAAGATATGCTTCAGCTGCTATGAGAAAATTCTATCATAGAGAGGCTGTATAAACTGAATTTTTATCCTTTGTAGTGTTGAAACTAGCAGCATTGTATTAACAGTTGTATAGTACATTTGTAGAGTACTGAAACATTAGCATTTACCTTTTGAATTCTAGCTATCATCGTAGCCATCTGCTCTTTAAATCTTTTGTCAAGTTGTAGATTCATGTGTGCGTGCTCCTCTTCTAGTTTCTTTTGCAACTCAGCACGATCTTCTTCTAGCTTTCTTTGTAACTCAAAACGATCATCTTCTAGCTTCCGTGACAATTTAGCAGCCATTTGTTCTTCTACCTTTCTTTGCAACTTAGCAGCTTGTTCACGTTCTTCTTGTAATTTTCTGTCCATTTCAGCTTGCATATCTTGACGCATACTTTCCATTGCAGAAGACATACTTGCTTCTAATTCTACCTGCTGCACTCAGCTTTTTTTTGCAGGTCTTTTTCCGTACCCTTTCCCACGAACATAGCCAGTTCGTTTGCCAAGTACGGTGACTAAAATCTCATCTACATTCATCGGATTTTCTTCAAATTGTTGTTGCTCCACAATTTCTTGGAGCTGCCCCTACAATTATGCATACAATTTATGATATAAAATAGGAGACATAAAATAAAATAAATAAAACACAATTTCAAGAGATTACATGAATTTGCTGCGACTATGGATCTGACCACACCAGTTCTTCTTTGTCATTCTTACGAGTATGTTGGAGCTCCCAAACTCGATCCGGTGGTGCCTTTTTTCCATTAACAGGATTTCTCTACGATTTATTAAAGTAGAGGAAACTATTTAAGTACATAATGTGACCTAAAAAAGAATGACAAATATATGAAATATTATTGTGCTAAATGAATTTGTACCATTGATTCCTCCACTTCAGCAAATGACTTTGAGCCACATGAGTGTTTAGTTATTTGTTTTCCCCTGTTTATTTTGTTTCGCTCACTCACAGCCTGAAATTATATCCATAAATTAAGTACCAGAATTGAAATAGTAATTTGTCACATATTTATATTACCAAGTTACCTTGAATTCCGGACTTCCAAAATGTCCAAACAGAAACACCCAATCCTTAGGTGTAACATCACTTGGCCTATGAGATAATCTCTCTTCATCAGTAGCATAGCGAGAATATTCAACATGCAATCGAGTCTTCCATGTTCTAAAAAGTCTTTGCATAGTATTGACCACAAGAGCTTGCAATACATGCTCTCGAACTCCGGGAGCTTCAAATTTATCCTAAATGCAAATACGAAAAGCTTTTGAGAGTAAATAAAACGTGTGATAAAAAGTCGATATAACCTTTATTAACAAATCATTACCTTAACCTTCAACCACATCGCATCTCCATGTTTTGTGATTATTTCTTGCCAATCACCATCTCTGAATGAGATAGTGCTGCGCATAATCAAACCACAATAGTTAACAATGTCCCTAGACCCGGTACCTACAGCTCTCTCAATGTCATATGGAATGACAATAGGAATTTTACTACCATGCTTAGTTTTCAAATCTACAAGTAAAGATTTGTATCTCCCCTCCTTTTATTGGATTTGTTGCAAGAAGCTGCGCGCAAAAGAATATATATTTAACAATCATATAGCATCCAGAATATGACTATTTAATGATGAGCTACTGCAATTGTTTAGCTTCAAAAGCAAGCAGTAGTAAAATTCGTATTCAACAATCAGTATTATTTAACAGTCAGAAGCAAGCAGTACTTTTGATCTCCTGGCCTCTAAAAGAGTTAGGAATCTTTAGATCTTAAGAACATTAGCAAGATTGGAATTCGGAAAATCGAAAAGCCACATAAAACGACACATGAAGGACTGTACTGCTTGCACAAGCACACAAAAAATCACAGCAGGCGACTAGTGAAATTATTCTCTGCAACAGGCGCACTTTCGATTCATATACATACTCTCTGTCTCTGCCCAAAGTGAAGCTGTGAACAGTGTCTTTTTACATACATGTGTCAGTGCACAGATGCATATCTTTTTACCTTTCTATGCATTTCCTCCAATGTTATTTTCACATGATTCAAGGGATCGCTAATGGTTCTTTGTTCATGTTGTGTACTTTTTTGCTCTAAAACAAACAGGTATATAGAAGACTATCTTCTTAAACTATGAAATATTAGAAGTTAAAGACAGTTATTAGCCAAACTGATGGCAGAAGAATAGGCCACATAATAATTAACCTTTAGAGAAAGGTTGGCATTCTGAATTGTACTTACTGATTTGTGGTGATCATAGCAAGTTTTCTAGACCTGAATCTAATTTGTCCGTTCCGCACTCAGTTTAACAGAAACTAATATGTGAGTTGTAGACATCTCCAATAATATTCCATCTCTTGGCACATTAAACGAATTAATAGTACATGTTTGTCTTAAGATTTTCACCAGTATTGCAAAAAATACTAAACAAATTGAGTTGTTAATTAGTTAACAGAAAGATTGAGAGAACTAACCTGCAGCACTTTCAGTTTCTACAGTGGGATGCGTACTTTCGACAATAATTCTTGATGACTGTGATCCATTAGGTTCTTGACAAGGTTGACTTGAAAGTCTAGTCTCTGAAGGTTCTAATGCTTGTTTATGCCGAGATGCTTGTGGTTGAGAAGAACGCTCAAGCCTTGTCAATGGTGCATTAGCCCTGTAGGATGACGTCGCTATAGAACTGTCACGAACTCCAATACTGCCACCTGCACGAGTACCTCCACCTCCACCTTGTGCACCTCTACCTCGTCCAAATCCTACCATTTCCTACAATATCTCAAAATAAAAAATATGAAAACAAAAATCAAAGTTCTGGTGAAGATCCATGTCTGTCTAGTAAAGGATCGTGCCATTATTGAGATTTCTATCATTCTTAAACTCAACAACTGCTGTATATGTACATTTAAAAGCTTAGCAAAGCTATAACATTCAAGTCATCATCACATATAAAAGTAAAAGGGATATTCTAGTATATTAAAGGTAGTAATTAAGATGAAGGTTCATTGAATAGCAGAATAATAAGGGGGATAAAGAAGCTACTGATAAGAATCCATAGAAAGAAACACGAAAGCTATCTATTTGGTCACTCCATATCCCCATCATCTATGTCGGTGTCCTCTCCATCGTTATCATCAAGTAACTCTTCATCGCTTTTTTCACCATTATACAGATCCATGTGATCGTCATTAATGAAACCATCGTCCTCATTATGCACAGTTGTCTGAGCTTCAGTCGCTTGGTTATAATCAATAATTTGTGGTTCAACATCATCCCTATATAAGGACACCACAATATCAATTTCTTGAGCATGAATGCGCGATGTATTAATTTCAACTTGCTCTTGTTGATAAGCATCTTCACTCGGTAATACTTCATCTTCAATTTCTATAGAATTAATATCCTTTTCAGGCATATTAAAAAGGTCACGAGGATTTGTCTTCACAACAACAAGCCAATCTTTGTTAGACATGTCGTCCACATAGAAAACTTGTTCACACTGAGATGCCAACACAAATGGCTCATTTGTATTCAAGGCACAGCGGGTATTCACACTTGTGAAGCCATATTTGTCAATCTTATATCCTTTTCCTAAGTGAGCCACATCCCACCAATGACACCTGAAGAGGTAAACTTTCTTATTTCCCACATAAGATAACTCGTAAATGTCCTCCACTATACCGTAATACTCCTTTGTTGAGTCTGAATCATCTCCTCTAACAAGAACTCCACAATTCTGTGTTTTTCTTCTCGACTCTATATCTCTTGTCTGAAATCTAAATCCATTCACCATTAATGTGGAATATCGAAGCACTAGAGGTCCAGGACCGAGTGCTAAGCTTATGAGATCATCATTTGCATGTCCTTGTGCAGATAGTTGTAAGATCTCCAAAAGACAAACAATACTCTCGTAATCAATAACATATGTGATAATAACATTAATATTCAACATGTCATTTTATTCATCACTTACATGTGCACGAAACCAATCAAAAAAGTCATTGTTATGCTTTCCATCCCCTATTGCACTTTGTCTTTCCATCTCTCTGGTGTGTTTCCTACATTTTAATAATGGGTTAGTTAGGACAACGTAATTGAACTATCCTAACACAAAATTATCTTGAAGTTCTCCAGAAACTTACTCAAGGAACGACCAAACTTCTTCACAATTTTGAAGCACATACATGGATGCTTGGTTTAACTCATCATGAGATAGCGGGGCGGGATCTGAACCACCTTTTGTTCGTCCACTATTTTTAAAGATAGATATCTCACCATGTGACACAGATTCATCATCATTCCTAGCTGGCCTATTGAACTTGGTTGAGATATTCTTTTAAGTAGCGCGAGCAAAATGTGAGGCTTTCTTCTGCCAAATAACCTTCTGCAATTGAGCCTTCAGGACGAGCATAGTTGCAAACATACGACTTAAGTATTCGCAAATACCTGTATACAAATGACTAGTTAAAAACAATATGACATTCTGAAATTATAATATTGAAATTTAAAGGATAACACGTTACCTTTCAAAAGGGTACATCCACCGATATTGAACTGGTCCACCTAGTTTTGCCTCTCTTGCCAAATGAATGGGCAAATGAACCATGACATCGAAAAACGCAGGAGGGAAAACCATTTGGAACTTGCACAATGTGATAGTAATTTCAGCCTCTAAGATATCAAGATCTTCAATTGTCAAGCACTTAGAACATAAATTCTAGAAAAATTTTCCTATTTCGATAATTGGCTCACTCACTTGCTTAGGCAACACACCATAAACTGCTAATGGAAAAATATCTTCCAATAATACATGGTGATCATGACTTTTTAATCCATGTATCTTTTTTCTCTTCAACCTTGACACACCTAGAAATATTTGATGAAAAGGCATCAGGAACCTTCAAATTAGCTAAGAAATTACACACTTTCAGCTTCTCTTCTGGGATAATGCGTAGCATGCTGCTGGTAACAACACATTGTTTCCATCCTGAATTGGATGCAAACCTTGCCTAATACCAAGGTCCACCAAATCATACCTACTTTTTAACGTGTCCTTTGTCTTCCCATCCACATTCATCACAGTTGATAAAATGTTATGGGACACATTTTTTCTATGTGCATAACATCAAGGTTATGTCGTAACAAAAGTGTCTTCCAATATGGCAATTCGAAAAAAATACTTTTCTTCTTCCAATTGTAAGCATTATTAGGGGCATTACGCTTTCGCTTTTGCCCTTTACCGAAAGTCACGTTACCCAACCCTTGTAGTTGCATAAGTACATCATCACCTATTAAAGGATTAGGTGCAACTCCCTTTTCCACTTTCCCATCAAATAACCTCTTATTTTTGCGCCATGGATGGTCTAATGGAAGGAAGCAACGATGCCCCATATAACACAATTTACTACGTAATGAAATCGATTGTGTATCTTTGTGGCAACAAGGGCATGCAAATTTGCCCTTGGTTGACAATCCTGAAAGGTTCCCATATTCAGGAAAGTCATTAATTGTCCACATGATAGCCGCACGCATCATAAAGTTAGATTTTGAGTGTGCATCATAATTTTCTACTCCTTCCCATAATTCTTTTAATTCTTTAATCATCGGTTGTAAATATACATCTATATCATTGCCTGGACACTTAGGACCTGGAATAAGAATTGTCATCATGAAATACTCACTCTTCATGCAATCCCAGGGGGGTAAATTATACGGAACTAGTACGACTGGCCATATGCTACGGTTGGAACTCATGTTCCCATAAGGCTGGAACCCATCGCTTGCTAAACCTAATCGAACATTTCTTAATTCAGCAGAAAAGCTGGGATGTTTCTCATCAAAAGATTTCCATGCCATTGCATCAGACGGATGTCGCAAGATACCATCATCAACATGTTCCTCCTTATGCCGCCTCATCTTTTTTGCTGTCTCTCTTGCCATGTATAATCTCTGCAGTCTTGGTTTGGTAGGAAAATGTCGTAAGACTTTATGAGCTACTTTCTTGCCTCCATTCTCTTTTGACTTCCATCTAGACTCACCGCACTTAGGACATGACTGTGCATTGGCATGCTCGCGCCAATATAAGATACAATCATTCTGACATGCATCTATTTTGGTGTACCCCAAGCCTAAGTCTCGAAGTACTTTCTTTGCTTCATAGAAAGAATTTGGAACAAATGACTCCACCGGAAGAACTTCTTTAAAGAAACTCAACAAGTCATCCATTGATTTGTTGGTCCAATGATTAAGGCACTTCAAGTGAAGTAGTCTAACCACAAAAGACAACTTGGACACATTTTTACAACCAGGATAAATTTCTGTCTCAGCATCTTCAAGTAATTTGTAGAACTTTTGTGCTTGCAAATTTGGTTCTTCATTATGGTGTGGAAGATTATTTGCATCAGGTGTATTCGCATATCCATAAGCATCATGAATCATCCCAGTAATATCATCTTCTTCAGCATTATCATCCTATACTTCATCATTGTTTATCACATCAGAATTTTCAACTCTTACCAACACCTCTCCGTGCAAGTCCCACACTTTATAACTATCCCAAAACCCATTGCTCAACAAGTGTCTTCTTATTTGGATTTTTAACATGTACTCTGTATTTCTACACCCTTTACAAGGACATCTGATCACAGTGCTCATATTTGGTTGACTGTATGCCCAATTAAGAAAGTTATCTATTCCTTTAATATACCTTTTATCACATTTATTCTTAATATTCAGGCAATTTTATCCATTGCTATTTTCTACAAAAAAAATACAATAAAAAATGTAAGCACGTCACTAATCAAAACTAACCACGTTATATAAGCACGTTTTGAACTCATCTATACGAGTACAAACACTAGGATATAAGACTTTAGAAACATAGTAAATGAGAACACAGTGAATATTCTAAAAACTAATTTAACACCAACATTTGGTCTTATAGAATAACTAACATTAATTCACCTCTAAAGTGCAAATCAAATAATAAATTACATAGGAAATCAAATAACATAGGGTACAAGGAACTAAATTACATAGGAAATCAAATAAGTTGACAATAACATGTGATCGATCTCCAAATAATTATCCTAAATTCTAAGGGAAAAAACTTAATCTTTAAAGGCAAAGTGTATCGTCGATACTAAATCAATGTATAATGACGTAAACCATGGTCATGTGTTATCGGGCAATTCAATTATAGCTATTACAGTTTACCAAACTATTAAATATAATATCTAATGCTATGGATTAAAATGCGCAGATTACTTTCACTTTAGCTCACACTAATAATCCTAGTTCATATTTCGCTTTAGCTCACACACCAAGCCTTAGCCCTCATCTATGGAGAGATCAGGAGTTTGATCCCGTAGGATGTCCATTTTTAGAAACAAAAAAAGCTCTAAAATTCATTAAAATTCAGAGCCTATTGGGATCGAACCCTTGATCTCAAACATGATAGTCAGTCGCTTAACAGTTAGGCTACGAGTCAAGATTAAGCTTTAGGCGCTACGAATAAATAATTTTCAGGCGGTGTCATTACTGTTTATATGCAGTAATTTGATAAGGTACTTCTGGTTAAGGATGAAAGAATCTCTAACTATGCCAACACACGCCTTAATGGTCATCAAGCTACTTGCCTTGTCTATAGGTGGGTGGCTATCCTGTTTTAGTAGAGCAACTAGAACATAAGTTGGGTTTGCAACTTGCAGATTTGATATATTTTTTGTGCAAGTTGCCACGGTTCTCGGGTGTTTGGCCCTAATTTTCAGTGTAGATCAGCAGAGCGGAAGTTAGTCAAACACAATACTAAAGCTATATAAACAAATAGTAGTAAACCTTTTCCCCATGATTCCAGCATAGAAGCAAACGACATGGTCAGAATCTTTTTGAGTCGTGGACAACAGGTTAAGCTACAGATAAGAAGACATAATAATACTGAAGAGGGAAAAACATATTGCCTGGAGAAATCTGAGCAGAGAAACAGGCCGAAATCTAATGTGAGCACAGAGAATTTTTTTGCTGGTTTACTTTTGCGAGATTTGTAGTTGCACCATATAGAACTTCTTTCCTTAGGTTTTTTTATTTGGAAGAATTGTAGTTGGAAAAGAGATCTTTTTACCTTATTGAAACAAAATTGTAGGGTTTTTTTGGTTCCTGACTTATTGGTTTCGCGGGAAACAAAACTTTGCAGACTTTGGTTTTCCCCCTCTGTTTTCCGAAAAAAGATTAATTTTATTATATTTAAAGAATTTAAATTACAGTTTCTGTGGCGACTAAGTCGCCACACATTCTTATAAATGGCGACTATCTAAGAATTGCTACTAAAACTTTTACATCAAATTTTTATTTTTGCGGGAAAGTGAAATTTAGCGGTAAGTATTTGTTGCGACCTAAGTTTATTTGTCACTAAAAGTACCCTTTTCATGGAAACTATGATAGTTGTCACCAAAGCTGTAATTATTTGTGGCAAATTTAATACATCGCCACTAAATCACCTACTTTTTGTGGCGAATAATATAGTCGCTGTTGAAATCCGTCACTAAAAACCTCATTTCTTGTAGTGCCAATTGGTCTCGAGAGAGTCAATTGGGCAAAATCACTCTCTCTACCGAGAGGTGTGAGAGTGGGTAAAATTGTGCAACGGCTATACATATTTCCCCAATCATGTCAATCAAGCTTTAGAAGCAATTACCCGTCAATTAACCACCTAGGTGAAAGTCACCACCCTAGTGCCCCTTAATCCATTAGATACAACTCTTAGCAATTGTCTCTTAGCGTAATCTAGTTTCAATTCTAATTAGTAGTTTTATAATAGTAGTTTATAAAAGAAAACCCAAAAATTATGAGAAGACCAATTAAGAGCACACACGCGATCCTAAGCTAAGTAGATACCCAACTCCAATCCTAGCTCTCTGTGGATTCGATCCCGACCCACAAATTGGGTAAAAGCTATTGCGACCCTCTCTTGCTACCTTTTATTGGTGCGGAGTTGGCTGCGATCACTTTTTGGCACCGTTGCCGGGGAGCTAACGGTTTTGGCTATCTATTTAGTTAGTTTTGTGTGTTGTTCTTCTTTCCTTCTTTGTTACTAATTTGTGTGTGTGATTACTACAGGTACCAACATGGCTNATACTCCCAATTAAAGGGTTAAACCTCGAGAGAGTAATTACCCGACTTGAACCCTAGTTGCTTGGGCAATTATGCATACCCAATTGGTCTCGAGAGAGTCAATTGGGCAAAACCATTCTTTCTACCGAGAGGTGTAGAGTGGGTAGTATTGAGCAACGGTTATAACATATTTCCCCAACCATTTCAATCGTGCCTTAGATGCAATTACCCGTCAATTAGCCACCTAGGTGAAGGTCACTACCCTAGTGCCTTTTAAACCATTAGATACAACTTGTAGCAATTTACTCTTAGTCCAATTTAGTTGCAATTATAATTTGTAGTTTGATCATAGTAGAATATAAAGAAAACCCCAAAAATTATGAGAAGTGTAATTAAGAACACATACGCGATCCTAAGCTAAATAGATACTCAACTCCAATCCTATCTCTCTGTGGATTCGATCCCGACCCAGAAATCGGGTAAAAGCTGTTGCAACCCTCTCTCGCTACTTTTTTTTTGTGGTGCGGAGTTGGCCGCGATCAACTTTTTGGCGTCGTTGCCGGGGAGCTAACGGTTTTGGCTATCTATTTAGTTAGTTTTGTGTGTTGTTCTTCTTTCCTTCTTTGTTACTAATTTGTGTGTGTGATTACTACAGGTACCAAATGGCTTTAAATGCTAATGACCCTCTTGGAAATGTGCTTGCGGGGGAGGAGGTTGAAGATATTGGAGACGATGAGGTGCCTCTTGTACCTCCCAGACCACGACAAGGCCGCCAGGCCAATGCTAATGACAACGTTCCAGACCCTCCTCCGCCACCTCCAAGAGCGGTTCCTCGGGTGCTACCGAACCAAGGCTATGCAAGTGCTATTATCCCTCCCAGAATCCGGGCGGGCAATTTTTAGATAACCAATATGATGTTGACTTTACTTGAGCAGCGTGGGTATTTAACGGGCGCTGCGGATCAAAATGCCTACAAACATCTCAAGGGGTTCGTGGACACATGTTGGGGTAGCAAGCAGACGAATGTGTCCAAGGATGCTCTTAGGTTGAGGCTTTTCCCTTCCTCACTTCGGGGGAAAGCATTGGATTGGCTAGAGAGACTCCACAACCATTCCTTCACGACTTGGGATGAGTTGGCGGATAAGTTTATTGCTAAAGTTTTCTCACCCGGGCACATGGCGGCACTTCGAGATGAAATATTGGCTTTCAAGCAAGAACCCACAGAACCTTTGCATGAGATTTGGGAGCGGTTTAGGACGATGGTGAAGGATCGAATGCCCCAATAATGATATGATGGAGCGATGATCCAACAAACCTTCTATCGGGGCATCAATACTATAAATCAATGCATAGTCAACCAATTGGCTGGGGGTAATTTCATGAAGTTGACTTATGACCAAGCTTGTGAGATTCTTGATGAGATGGCGGATACGTATTCCGCATTGCAAAGTAGGGCCAATGTTCCTCAAGGTGACCCTACGGTTATTCATTTGCATAAGGAATTACATGACCATGGGCAGGCTATAGCGGAGTTGACAACTATGATGAACCAATTGGCTAAGGCACAGTTGCAACAAGTCCAAAATCCTCGCCAAGTGAATGCCATGGAGGGTGTGAATATGCTTGTTAACAAGAGAAGGCAACGAAGGCAACAAAACCAAGGGAATTCTGAACAATTTGATGATGATTGTGATGGGTTTCAAAATGAGGGCTATGATGAGCAAAATGAAGAGGTACAATATGTAAACAATTTTCAAGGCCAACGGGGCAACTCTTCCAACCAATAACAGTGGCGACCCTAGGGTAATTGGGGCAATCAATAACAAAACAATGGTAATTGGGGGAACAATAATCACAACAACAACTGGGGCAATCAGAACAACAATCAAGGTAACCAAGGGCATTGGAATGGTAATAACAACAACTGGGGCAACAATAACAATCAAGGTGGATGGAACAATAGGAACCAAGGAAACCGGGGGCAAGGCTTTCAAAGGCCCCCAATGTACCAACAACCGAACAATCCACCCCCTTTCCCTTCTCAAAGTCCTAGTTCTTCGGGTAATGAAATGGGTAGAATTGAAATGATTTTCGAACAAATGATGAAAAAGAATGCGGATTCCGATGCGCAATTGGCTTCTCACAATACTTCAATTAGGAATTTGGAGGCACAAATAGGCCAAATCTCTCAATCATTGAATACTCGCCCGAAGGGTGCTCCACTAAGTGATACGGTAGTGAACCCAAAGGGTGCGAACAATCATGTCATGGCGGTTACAATACGAAGTGGGAGAGGCGGTGATGTGAATGCCTCGAAGCAAAAGCAAGTTGTTGATGGTGATGTTGAGTTGCAAGAAGATGTG